GAATAAAAAAAGGGCTTTCTCTCTGTGAGAGCTAGACTAAATCTAACCCGTCAAAGTTCTTTAAGATCTAGAAAGTTTTGCTTCAGAGACTGGCCACGCTATTCTTCGTCACCTGTTAGTTTTCGGCCTCCGCTCTTGTCCTGGCTGGTTTGAGGTAAAGCGGAAGAGGAAGAGCAGGCCAGCTGCAGAGAGCTGATGGTGGAAGGGTGGCCACTGAGGGCACAGTACTGTCAGGACTGAAACCGGGACAGTCCCAGGCAAATTGGGATGGTTGGCCACCCTACTTGCACAGCAGGCCTTATTGTGTAGACTCATCAGTAAGTCTGCTTGGCTTGCAGGAGGATTGTGCCATGGTGTTGCAGGCCAGGTGAATAGCTTTTCAGGTTTGTCCCATAAGTCAGTTGGAGCTCTTCTTTTTTCTTTAATGGAGAAGCCGTTTGTGATTTAGTTACCTTGGCTCTGCAGGATCATTTCCTGCGACTGCATGAGGCTGAACGCAGGTAGCCTCACCTGGCAATTTGAAGGAACTTCTCAACGCCTCATTTTTGTCAAATATTATTATGGCTCTGCAGGATCATTTCCTGCGACTGCATGAGGCTCAATGCAGGTAGCCTCACCTGGCCTTTGAAGGAACTTCTCAACGCCTCGTTTTTGTCAAATATTATTATGCCAAGGATCATTGCGATCTTTTTTTTTTTTTCTCTCTCCAGTCTCCACTGAGGCTATAACTAGGTGTGGCTTTACTGAGACTGGAGAAATTAGGTCTTAAAACAGCTCCTTGAGAAAATAGGATGGGGAAACACCAGAGAAAGAGGTTAAGGGAGGACGGGCTGCCCCATTGGCAGAGGCTCTGCGATTCTACTCTTTTATTCGCTTAAAGACACTCTAGCATATTCTTCTTGAATTCAGTTTGGAAGAGGAAAATGTGTTTTCTTGAGTGAAGAATGTTCTGAGGGTGGAGTTCGGGCTGCTTTGCTCTCAGCTTGGGCTCTGGGATAAAACAGGGCCTACAGACACAGCTCTGTTTGAACTAAAATGACTCACAAGGGGTGTCCAGGGAGAAATGAATGAGCACACTGGAACCTGGACAAGGGCTGTCCTCAACTGAGGGTGGACTGGGCGAATGAGCAAGCTGAATAAACCTGTCATTGTTTTTTTTTTTTTTTTTTTAAAGTAGGAACTATGGAAGTGTGTGTACATAGATAACCAATAGAGTCTAAAAGAAATTCTGAAGAGGAATCTGAAAACTTTCAGCCGCAGCAGCTTTGTAGACTCAGGGTAGCTCACCTTCCAGGTAAAATGGGAATAACATTCTTCAGGATGAACAGAGCCTGACGTCTGTTAAAACGGCGTCAGAACTCAGTAATCACCCAGTAAGGGATTTGATCCCCAAAGATTTCTCATTTAATTATATTTGCATATGCTAATATTAAAAGTAATTTGCACTCGTTAAACACATACTAATTGATGGGATAGCTGTGAGGGTGGCAAGGAAAATGCTCCAGAAGCTTTCTAACACCTTAGAATAGAAACTTCTCCAAACCTAGATAATTAGGGATTGATGGTAAAAAAGAAAGCCCTTGGAAGAGGTTGTTTATGATGTGGGTTTACACGGACTAATGGAAATTTATGAAATGTGCATGAAGTTCCTGCAAAAATCGAGACTGAGAGAATGAATCCTGCCCTCTGATGAAGTTTACAAAGTATTTCTAGTACTGTTACTAAAATGACCTGAAACAAAAACGCTATAGAGAAAGGATAAAGCAGCTTTGAGTCTAAAAGAGTAGAACATTGCTCGAGTAAATTCAAGCCAAATTGTGTGTGTGTGTGTGTGTGTGTGTGTGGAAATTTGGCACCTGTTTAGATTTGTCTTAGGTAAACTTGCAAGTCTGTGGAAAACTAAACAGAGTGAGTTGTACACAGGACAAAGATGACCGTCAACATCAAGCGGTCCCCAGCTGGGGTCTCTGGGATGCGAGCATACTACCTGGGAGATTGATGTCGTCACAGAAGCTACATCATCCTTTCAGTCTCTATTCTGCTCTTATTTTGAGATCTATATTTCTTTGGAAACTATAGCCCTAGGATTAATAGAATCAGATCTGTACTGATAATAACAGCTAATGTGAGCTGGGTGCTTACAATGGGCCATGTGCTGTTCGAGTGCTTTGCCCGTATTAACTGTATTAACTGGTATAACTCTTACAACTCTCTGGAGACACACTATTTTTTCTCTTCTTAAGATGAGGAGGATCTGAGTACAGACAAGTAATCGCTTGACTCAGAACCACACAGCTTGTTAGTAGTAGAATCGGGATAGAGTCTGGCTTCAGAAATTGTTCTCTTCTCGCAACCCTGGGTACTGCCTGCATTCCAGGTAGTTTCATTGTGTTAAAAATCGTACCTGCTTCTTTTACCTGGAAGCTCGGACTTGTACTGATGTAAATGATGTGAGGGCTGCGGTCTTATAAACAGATTGAAAAGGTCACAAAAAGAAAGCTCGCAAAAGAATGAAGTAGGACTGCTACCTCATAGCATATAGAAGTATTAACTCACAATGGATCAAAGCCTCAAATATAAGAGCTAAAAGTTGTAAAACTCTTAGAAGAAAACAAGGCACAAATCTTTGTGACCTTGGGTTAGGCGATGGCTTTATTGGATAAGACAGAAGAAACAAAAGAAAAAATAAATTGGATTGTCAAAACTTAAAAACTCTTGTGCTTCAAAAGACATTCTCAAGAAAGTAAAAAGACAATCCACAAAATAGGAGAAAATATTTGTAAATAGCATAACTTACAAAAGACTTGTATCTAGAATGTATAAAGAACTGTTACAATTTGATAATCAAAGGACAAATAACCCAATTAAAGATGGGCAAAAGATTTGAACAGACGTTTCTCCAAAGAAGATATACAAAGGGCCAATAAGCATATGAGACGTGTCTTAGTCTTTAGGGAAATGCGATCAAAACCACAATGAGATATCACTTCACACCGACTGGAATATACATGGTCAAAAAGAAAAACAATAACAAGTGTTGGTGCAGGTGCAGAGAAATTAGAAGCCTCGTGCATTGCTGGGGGAGAATGTCAAGTGGTGCAGCTCCTTTGGAAAACAGTCTGGAAAATCTTCAAAAAGTTAAACATAGAGTTGCCGTAGGATTCAACAATTTACTCTATAACCAAGAGAATTGAAACATATATCTACACAAAAACTTGTACATGAACATTCAAAGCAGCATTATTCATAGTAACCAAAAAGTGGAACTCCATCAAAGAAAAAGTGAATCCATCAAAAAGTGGAAATGTCTATCAACTGACGGATGTATAACAAATGTGGTAGATCTATACAGTGGAATATTATTCAGCCCTGAAAAGAAATGAAGTACCGATACACGATGTAATTGCCTATAACATTGTATTTGGTTCAGGTGTATAATATAGTGATTCAGTATATATGTATTTTGTAAAACGATCACCATAGCAAGTCCAGTTAACATCCATCACCATACATAGTTCCACATTTTTTTCTTGTGATGATGATTTTTATTCGCTAATGCACGGTCCATAGCCACCTTTCACTGCTTATCTCTATCAAGGTTGTTTTTTTAAATTGTTGGTCAAATTAGGAGCCAAACAAGGTACATTTATTGACTTGGCTGTTTTGTCTAGTAAGTGTTTTCACATCTATAATTGTCCTCTTGTATCCCACCCTGCTTTTCATTCCCTTTTTTTGTTGGAGAAACCGGGTCATTTACCCTACAGAATGCCCCATATATTGGGTTTGGCTGATTGCTTCCTTGTAATGTTATTTAACTTGTGCCTCTATCTCCATGTTTCCTGTAAACTCAATAGTTATATAGAGATGTCTGATTATAATCTGGTTCAATTTTTATTTTATTTTATCATAGGTGATGCTGTGTACTTTCTACTGCATCAATTAGAAGGGACATAATGTCTGACCCAGTTTTAATAATGTTAAGATGACCAGAAGATTTAGTTGATGCCTGATCCCGCCTTTACAAAGTTCCCCATCTACCTTTCACTTAATGGGTTTTATAACTATTGACGATTTTACCAAGCGAGTTACAGAAGTGGAATATTTTCTAATTCCATCATTATTTCTGCATTTATTAGTTGGGATTCTTTCATGTGGATGAATTTTCCATCACTGGTTATTTGGTCATTCTGAAATATGGTTTGAAAAGGAAAAGCAGGATACATTCTTCAGTCTTGCCTTTATATGTCCGTTGTCAGAATACAATGAATTGGGGCCCTAGAAACATCTACTGGTAGTTACTAGTGAACTGCTCTGTTCAGTACTGTTTGGAGGTCGAGACAGAAGGACATCTTATCATTCACTATAAACCCATAGACTTTATAGATTTGATGCATTTGAATCAGTGGCAGTCATTCTTTTTGGTTTTCAAATTGTCCCATCTCTGGCCAGTGGAGGCTTCTCCTAATTGGCCCGTATGTCTTGTTGACACTACCCTGTTAGTCTGAGCCATTAACTTCTGGGCAGCAATCTCCATCTCTTTAAATAATTGGATTAGTTGGTCTTTAAAATTCTTTTTAGTTCTCGCTTCCCTTCCAGAGAAAAGAGGCTGTATTTTAATATTCTACAATAAAATCTCTGATGCTAAACATATACCATTTTGATTTTTTTTCTCCTAAGAATTTAGACAGTGGGTGAATTAATGCATTGGAAAATATGAAATGTTTTTGTGTCTTTCCCTCTGATTAGTGTCATACTGGCTTAGGATGTAAGATGCTTCCACACTCTAAGCTAAGTATCTGCAAAACAAATGATATAAACATTTCTGTGCTTAAAGCTCTAATGAGGCTTACCAAGGAAGTCTCTGATTTTGAAGATGGTTTGGTTTTGAAATATACCAGCAGAAGGGTTGTTATTATTCCAAATGTGATATTTTTCTCACCTTCTATGTGGGGTACCCGGCAGAAGAATGGATAGCCGCATTTCATCATTTCATCCGGTAGCCCTGATAAGGCAGAACAGGGAGCTAAGGAGGTCCTGAGGCCCCCCAATGAGCTGTTCAGGGAAGTGCAGAAGGCTGCAAAGCTGGCCAGGTCTTGCCAGGTGGCTGCAGAGTCAGCCTGAGTCTTTACAAGCCGGGAGCTGGAGCCAGTCCATCCAGGCAGCGCCTGACACATCCAGGCAAGTGGGCCAAGTCCCCGAGGCTGTCCCTGGGACCAGAAGGTATAACCAGAGGGAAGCATGGATTTAAATTCCAGGGCATAAGACAAAAGCTTATCAGATCTAAGAAGAGGGAGCTGAAAATGAGTTTTTATAAATGCTTGAAGGACACCCGTCTCAAACTGAACCACAAATAATAACACATAAAAAGGGCCTGATTTTTGTTTCTGTCTGTGCCCTGTGGAGCACATGCAACTTCAAAGGCAACTCTCCAGGGAGCAGCTCTAAAGAGAGCATGCTTTTATTTCAAATTTTGGCACAAATCCTCCAAATTATTTTTGATGGCTGGGAAACAAAACTCACATTCCCTCTAACTTCATCTGCATTTAGCAGATCCACCTTTGTTTTTCTACGGTGACAGTTTCCACTTGTTCAACTCATGTGTTCTTCCTGCTTTGAGGCTCTATGTTGCAGGGAGAAGGCAAGGCTGATACTATATGATTTTCAAACAGCCTCAAACAGCCCAGTTTCTTAATCTCCCTCACCCCGACTTCTCCTTTCTTTCCACCATAAGTGTCTTTAGAATCTAAAACAGTTGTTCTTAAGATTATTTATCACCATGAAACACCCTTTAAATGGGAGTCTTATGTTGTAAAAATGAGCTGGTTTCACTTCCATCTGATGGGACCCTTTGGTGATGAGCAAATATAGCTTCAGCCTAATGCATGTGCACAGTGGCTGTGTGCATGTGCACGTGTGTGTGCGTGTGCATGCGTGTGCGTGTACGTGTAAGCTACTAGAGACCCTGAGATTCCATTAATCATAGAAATTAGAGACGGCAAAGTTGTTTGCAATGAGTCTGTTTCTCCCTTACCAATACAGAATAGTTCCTTCTGGTGTGTTTTTGGGGTGAGTTTCCTTTGTGACCTCTGTGTCCCACCTCCCCCCACCTACTATTTTTCCACACCTGCACTTCCGTGCAGACTGATTCAAGCTGTGCTGTTTTTATTTCTTTGGCTTATTTATTTCTGATCATTTTTATAATTCTGTATTCCCTATCCTTTTGAAACTGAATCCTGATATAGTTAGGTGGTGGTTCTACTTAAAGAGTGATCTTAATGACCCTAAAGTGGTCGTTTTATTGCTATGAGGGTCATGTGACTTCTCTGGAAGAAACTTCTACTCTGTGTGAGCTCAGGGCCCCTGCTAGGGAGAAAGACATGGTCTGATTTTTGCATGCCTGCAGATGAACACAGGCAAGATATTATTAGCTTTGATAGCTTTGGTTCTAGACTTCTTTTTATCTCTATGTTAATAACTCACAACTCATTGGAGTTTTCTCTAATCTTCGTTAGTGATGTCTTAAATTATAAATGACATTAATACAGTAATGATACTAGTTATATCAATACGCTCAGCGATTTGCCCCCATACCCCTTTATCCTCCATCAAAATAGAACCTTTTCTAAAGAGTCGGGTTACGAATAGGATGAATTGATGTTGGCCTAGTAAGCAATATTGTGATCTAAAAGCATTTGCCAAAGGGCCAAGTATACAAGGTATTCTATGGAATTCTGTAAATACCAAGAAGAATTTCAATCATTTGCATATATCGTCTACCTTCTATATGTACAAAATTGCATAAACCGATGCTAGTGAAAACATGCACACACACACACACAGACGATGATTTCCTTCAAAGGGCTTACTGGTATATTTTAGTAGAGAGAGAGGGAGTAAAAACTTAAATGAAACATTTATTGAATAACATAAGGAAACTTAATTCTAAATGTTTATGTATATATAAATATTTATATATAAATGTTTATATTTAGTTATATAGAAATGTTTATATAATCTTGGGGAGAAGGAGGACTTGAGTCATGAGAAATGGCACTGGTAAGTCCAGAAAAAAGGACCACACGGTGAGCATTTGTGGACCACAAGGAAGGCCGGGATGACTTGCATGGAGGGCTTATAAGCAGAGAAGATTTAGTGAGTGTTTTACTAACCATTGTCACGTATGAATGAAGTTGATGATAAAGAACTTTAAGAATGTGAAGTTCTATCTACAGACATGAAGTAAGTAGTCATGAGACTCAAACCATATCAATGCTAGTTTAAGAAGTTTATAATGTTTGCAGAAATTGAAAGAAAACTATAAAATCATAAGCACTTGTATTAGCAAATACGATGGAGTGTTTTAAAATAATTCAAGGCGCAAGTTTACTGTTGACCTTGCACAAGATGATTGTACTCTTGTAAGATCTGAAAGAGCTTATTTAGCTTTGTGTCTCCCAAGAGGTGCATTTTAGCGTAGTACCTTGTATGTGGTTGATTTTGAATAGTTTTCATTGGACGAATATAAAGACATCCTTTGGCGTTGGCCTCAAGAGAGGCATTTGTAAATGACAGTCACTTAGAAGGTAGGCTCCATTGTCCAGGGAATGTATTACACGTAAGTTAAGTCCACTTCTAGTAGGTTTTTCATAAATATTTTTAGGTGGTTATTAGAACTAGCCAAAATGATTTTATTGAGTATCTTCTCTGAGTCCAGTAACATAGAAGGTATGTGAGACTTGATTCTTGGCATTACAGAAATTGTATTGGGAAGATGAGAATATTAATTGGGGAGAAATTAGAAAATCAAAAGACAACACACAAGGCAGAAATACTGGAGGGGAGTTTATGTGGGAATCTTCACTGGTGTTCTTCATTTCTTTTTTCCTTAGGAAATTCATCTATGTCATATTTTCAACTGTTATCTCTATCGATGACTCAAATCAATGTATGTTCTGGATTTCATACCTAGACACCGAGCATTTTCCCATCATCTTAAGCTTCAGATCTCTGAATCCAACTAGATTGAGTCCCTTTTCCTTTTTCTGTCTATTATAACACTGTTGTTCTAATCACCCAGGCTCACAATCACTGACTATTTCTGTATATCCGTATTTCCTTATGTTTATCAGTTGCCATGGCTACTCTATTCTGGATTGTGAGTAGATCAAGAGAATAGAAGAGATTTTTAACCATGTGAGCCCAAACACGCAGAGCAAGTGTGGTGGGAGAAGGAAGTAAAGTGATGCTCTTGGGACGCTGATGGAAGACACAGATGGTAGAGTTTTGACTTAAGGGTACTGAGAAAGGTCTGTTTCAGGGCAAGTGATACAAGGGGAGAAATTCCCACGTTCCTTATCTGTTAACTTGCTTAATATTGGTATGTCAGATTTTGATAAATAGAATTTTGCTTTAAATGTTTTAGGAAAGCTTAGTATTGAAAGGATGCCTATTATGAAATTTGTATTTTTCTATTACTGTATTTTTCTGATATACTGGTAAGTTTATACACAAACACATTGATTCTTAGCTCTATGATCTCTAGGCTGCCGTATGTGTAGCCATAAATTACTAGAATGGACTGTCGTGTGTGGTGAGCTCTCTCTCACTGGAGGTATTTAAACAGAGGTGGCATTACTATTGCAGATGCTGAAGATATGAGCCTGGCATTGGGTCAGAGATTGGACTAGCTCTCTATGACCCCTTTGAAGATTAAGATTTTATCATTTTATAGTGATTCATAAGAGGATTATTTGGTAATTTATTTTTACTGCTATGTAATATGCTGGCAATAGGCATGAATTGATTTTGGCGTTCTTTGTGGTACCTTGGAAGGCATAAGTTTAAACACTTAAAAATGACTTCTAACGGTGGCACCATTGGCAGAGTGTTCATTGGTTATACTGTGATTATCGAATTAAACTCAAATATAATTTTGACTTTGTTGACATGGAACTCACTGGTAGGGGATGAATTGAAAGCACTGAGTTTACCATTATCATGGCATTAAGGTGGTCTGCAGACAATTAGCGTGGCCAAGTTTATTAATTTATATAGTTTTAAAGGCTCAGGGCATCTATCTCTTTGTAAGAGAGGTAGAAAGGAGTAGAAAGAAATATAGTTTCCTTCTTTGAACTGAAGCCATACAGGACAAGAGATGAAAGGTTGTAATTTTGGGGTGCTTGATCTACATTGTAAAAAAAAGTTTCAGAGCCAAGCATACTTTAGAAATGATCTCTTGGGATTTTCAGGCATGTCCAATTTTCTCGGTCTGATGCTTTCAGGGGTTCTCCCTCTGCTTCAGGGAGGAAGCTAGAGGTTATTGTATGAAGCTTGAAAAATGTAGTTCCCTTAGATCCTTTGCCAGTATTCCATCACCATCTTGAAACAAAGAACATGGTAAACATCTACAGCTTACACAATGAAAGAATTCCTTTGAACCTGATCGACTATAGAGAAGTATCTTTATAACAGCAAGTGCAGAGTTGTGTGTATCTAGCACGAGCTCCAGTGTCTTCCTCTGGTGAGCTTAGTTCTCTCGAGCAGCATCTTCATTTTTGTTCTAACACTCTTGTATAGGTGATCCTGGGTGTTCTTTGCTATCGAGAAGTACTTTTGAAAGTGCCAATTAATAAATGTAGAAGAAATAATGGAAGAAAAAAAAATCCTTGTTTTACAACCACCGTAGTGTTTAATAAGTGATTTAGGCAAGAATGATCAGTGGATGCTAAAATCAGTGAATGAACGATCATTGGGGCACAGAATATTCTCAAAGTATAGCCTTTGGATGATTTAATTACGAAGGGAAAAAGACACCTTTACATTGGAGAATACCTTAAATCTATGATCGAATTTAAGCAATTTAATATCACCCAAAGTGAAACAAATTGATGTCATGTACCTATGATGAAAATGGCACTTTACCTCTGCAGTAGAATCTCAAAAAACTCATTACTTTTAACTGATCATGAAGAAACAGTCAGACAAATCCCCAAATGAAGACTTCTTTTCTTAAGAAATACCAGTCATTATAGACCAAAAAAAAGCTGGGGGAGCAGTTTTTTTGATTAAAGGAGACAAAAGAGATACATGATATCTAAATGCAGTGTGTGATCTCAGATTGCATTCTAGATCTGGGAAACAGCTTTAAAGGACATTTATTGGGTCATGTGGGGAAATTCGAAAGTGGACTATATATTAGATTATAGCATTGTATCAATGTTAAATTTAGTGTGTAATAATTTTAAGTATGTAAGAGAATGTCTTTGTTCTTAATGGATTCATATCGAGGTATTCATGACTTCACTGTCATGATACTTGCTACTAACTTCAATATGAATATATAAAATATATGATA